TGTCTCGTCTCCTTGGCCAGAAGATGTAAACCTCATCACGTCTCACCTTACTCAAAACGCTGCAGCCGTTCTGCGTGGCTGAGACAGAAGCCAGACTTCCTCAGCTCTCCCCTCCCCCCGTGGAGCTCTGCCCGCCGCCCCTGCCGCCCCTCAGCTGCATCACACTCTCTGTTCTTGTTGCCCCTCCAGTGCACACTGCCCTCCCCCACTGAGGTGTTCTAGCGTGGCCATTTCCTCTCCCGAGGACCTCGTCCCCTCCCGTCCACCAGGCAGACGCATCCTCACCCTTACGGTCTTTGCCGTCACTTTTTCAGGGGTCCTCCTTCTTCCCCGACGAGGTCTCCCCCACTCGGAGTGTTCCACACCGCCTGCTTAACTCCGGGCTCGGCGGGAGGCAGCCCTCCCAAGAACCGACCTGCGTCCCTCTACCCCTGCGATCCCCTGAGAGGCCGCGGTGGTTCGCTGGCTCTCCTTCCTCTCCTCGGCACCCGCGGCATCCTGACCGGCACCCGCAGTCAGGGCTTAAACATTTCTGGGGTAACTGAACACCCAAAACACGATTGTGCCCCAGGTGAGCGTGGAAAGGCGGCTGTGCTTCGAGCTCGGGTAATTTGGGAGGCGAGCTGTCCATCTTTGAAACATTTGAAACAACGATGGAAGAGGAAATGGTGATACAGCTCCTTGATGGCATATTATGTATCGACTTTTGTAATCGTCACGATAATACAGCAGGGTGCGAATAGACTTACGAGACTGAGTAAGAAAATGAAGGACGGTACAGGGTTTTGCAGCCATGCCTCTGTCCGGCTCGCTCTCTCCCCTGGGGGCGCTCCCTGAGGCCCACACTGTGTGCCTTTCCGTAACTTCCCTGGGCACCCCCACCCCCCACCCCCGACACTGGGCTCTCAGTTTGCTCCTGTCATTGTCTCAGCTGGACTGGGACCCCGGGGTGGGGGCTGTCTCACTCGTTGCCCCATCTCTGTTACCGCGCATGGAGCTGGCACCGGGTGAGGTGAGTACAGGAGTGTCCTGCGTGTGACTGAACAGCTCAAACCACAGAAATCCATTCCCTCAAGGTTCTCGGGGCCCCAGATCCCACCCCAGGTGCGGGCAGAGCGAGGCTCCTACTGAAACCTCCGGGACCTTGCCCACCTCTTCCAGCTTCCGGTGGAGGCCAGGTGCCGGGCTTGCTTGCGGACACGCCGCTCCGGGCTCTGCCTCGCTGTCCCACGGCGCTCTCCCCGTGTGTCTGCACATCTCCTCCCACAGTGGGTGTCTGTCCCCGGGGCTCTTCTCTTCTCATAAGGACCCCAGTCACAGTGATTAGGGTTCTCATGTCAATGTGACCATCTGCAAAGACCCTCTGTCCAGATAAGGTCACATTTCCAGGTACCAGGGGTGAGGACAAGGACTTGACCTTTCTTGGGGACACAGTTCTGCCCCGAGCATAAGGAAGGTGGGGAGGGAGGGAAGACGGGACACGACTGGGGATGTGAAGCTGAGAGTCACTCCCTGACCCCAAGCTACTCCCTGTGTCCACCTGGCTGGCATGGCAGCACTCACGCCTTGTCACCGGGTCCTGACGGGGACCCAAGAAGGCTGCACATGGCCAGGCATGTGGCCCCAGACACCTGATCGAGACCCTCCGGGCCAAGAGCTGGCTCTCTGTCTGGGCCGCTCCCTGGGTGAGTCCAGGGGCCACCGGTGTGAGTGGCCAGAGGACAGACCAGGGCGTACAGTCACTCACATCCCTGAGCTCGCTGACCGGTGGGTGGCTGCCACCTCCCTAGAGGGTCTGGGTGGGGACTTCTACCGCTGTGACTTCCTGCACCTGCTCACCACCTCCACTCAGACACTGGGCTGTCACCAGCCTCTCCAGCAGGGGCGCAGCAGAGGGTGGGGTGTGTATGTGTATGAATGACCATCCCGTGCTGGGCTCCGGCCACCTGTGTGATGGTACTAGGGTGGGGCTCGGGCCACCTAGTACACATGGCCAGCCCCTCAGAGACCTTCTGTGACAGCCGCTGCCACCTCCTCCCCATTTCCAAGTCTCCCTAAGAGGGAGGAGGGACACAGGACACCAAGAGAGAGACTCAGAGAGAAAGAGGGGGACAGAGAGACAAGTATGGGGAGACAGACAGGCCAGCTGGGGGGAGGGCCGGCCCTCTGGCAGGCAGCCTGACCCACCCCACTCCCACCCCTCGAGGCTCCACTGCTCCGCCCACTCTAATAAACTCGAAACTCCAGTGACTGGAGCGAAGGATTCAGATTAACATTTAAATTGACGCCGGACGAGAAACCTGGAGGCCCGGGTCGCTGACGTGACTCCGTTAACTTGTTCTGTGACCTGGGGCGGGAATTTAAAATGATCTTTCCTCATCAGACCGCCTCCCCGCCGCCCTCCCCCGACCCATGGGAGGTCGGGGGTGAGGGCAGACCGACCCCCAGGGCTTCACCCTTCCCAGCCTGTCCACCCAGCATGGGGTGGGGTCAGCCTTTTACCTGAGACGTCCGGCAGGACCGGAGAGCGTGGCCTTTCTCCAGCCAGGGGACTGGGGCTCTGGGCAGCTGGTGCCGGAGCAAAGCAAAGAAAGAACCTCCGCTTCACCTCCAGCGGAGCTTGGGGACATTGATGACTGCCATCCACTCAGTCACTACAGGGGAGCCTCGTCACGGAGCCCCTGAACCTGGGGGCTGAGTTGGTGGAGCTCCGGGCGCCCCCAAGCCTGCCGGCTCCACCCAGAGAGCACACAGTGCCCCTAACTCACGGGTTCTGAGATGCGGGTCTACGGACAAAGCTGACAGATGCTTGGGGTCCCGGTCCCGGGGCAGCCACCAGTCACATTGGGGATTCTGAGAGTCAGGGCTCTCTCAGAGGGTGGGAAAGGGGCCCACTGAGGGGCTGCATGCGGGCCTCACGCTGCACACTGACCTTTCCTTCTCTGCTTCCAAGGGACCAGTCCCCACTGTCCTCCCTTTACACAGCAGGAGTCGAGGGCGTTGGGACCGTCCACGAAAGCCCGCCCCTTCCTCCCCCGCCCCTGCCTGGCCCGGACAGCAGCCTGTGCTCACGGCTGTCCGCCAGGGCCCAAAACAGCCCTCGGCTGGGAACGGTCACCCTCGCTGTCCCCCCAGGAGGCCTCCTCACCCAGCCAGGTGCCCCAGGCGAATACTCTCCCCGCGAGCCTGGCCCCCACTGGTGGGCTTCGCATGGCTGGTTGGGGCCCCCACTGAGAGGGGTGACGTGGGACCGTCTGTCCTGACTCTGGCCCTGGGGGCAGAGGGTCCCACGGGTCTGGGTGGGCAGCGAGTGCCGTGCTGAGCGGTCTCACGGGGGCTGGGGGACCCCCCTCCAGGGGGGCATCCTTCATTCACCTGCCCTCACTCACTACACCCTGGTCCTGATGGCCTGAGCCCAACTCTGGGCTGCCACCGCGAGGCCACACAACTTCTGTTCAGGAAGGTTCCAGAACACCCAGAACACATGGCTCCACTGCAGTCTGTGGCTGTGGCTGGCTGTGAGGAGCTGGAGAGAAAGTGTGTTCTCCGAGTGTGTAGGTACAAGTTCCAGTACCGGGGGTGAGGGGGACGGGGGGCGGGGCAGCGTACAGCTCTGCTGCCGCACACAGCGCGGTGTGGGTGGCCCAGGGTGTCTTTGGTGCCTCTGGCCGTGGGCAGTCAAACCTTCGATTGGAGAGAGACAGGCTGCTTTCTGGGGGCCCGGGAGCCCGGCAGGACTGGGTGCCCTCCCGAGACTCAGTGTTCCATCGTATGGGATCACAGTGCCCAGCTACAGCCCCCCCAGACTGAGGGTCACCTGGCCAGGAAGGGACAGAGTCAGGTGAGCTGCCGGGCCCTTGATCCAGGTGATGAAGTGGTGGCTCGGGCCACTGACCTCTGTGGACACACGCATGGGCGTGAGTGGTACCTCGGGGAGAAACCCGGGGTGAGTAGTGTGTGGCTGGCAGGAGGGGGTTGGGGGGGGCGTGGGCAGTGCAACTCTCGCCGTGGTTTTCATTGGCCTCTGTGGGCAAGTGCGGCCGGGGCCACCGGCACGTTTGGGCATGTAATTAGGAAGCAGCATTAACGTTGGGGGCGGGTCAGCAGGTCCATCTGAATCCAGACGCTGGGCATCTCAGGGTTACGCGGTTCTCACAAAGGGGCTCGAAATGCAGTGCTGGGTGGGCGTGGGTGGAGTCAGAACACACGCAGGCCTCAGTTCCATGCCCACAGCCCCTCGTCCACGGCCCCTGCCCACGGTCAGGGCAAAGACTATGAGTCCCAAATCAGCTTCCCTTAGAGCCAACAGCTTTGCTTCTCTCCGTGTGGGCGAGGATTCTCCGCTGGGCCGCGGGGCCCGGGGAGAAGGGGCAGAGCCGCCTGCCTGCCCACCAGAGCTGCATTCTGGAGGTCCCTGCCCTTTCAAATCCCGCAACACTGTATCTCTGAGAGCAGAGCTGCCTCCGGTGTGATTAATGCGACCTGGTGACCTGGCGTGGGTCTCTGAGAGACAGAGCCCGGCACCCTTTGTTCTTTAAAAAAGCAGATTTTTAATGAAAAAGCAAAACGTACACGGTTTACAGAAACACAAAGGGGCCCTGATCGGTGTGACTCGGTGGGTTGGGCGTCGTCCCACAAAGCGAAAGGCCGCCGGTTGGATTCCCAGTCAGGGCACATGCCTGCGTTGCGGGCCAGGTCCCCAGCTGGGGCGCGTGCGAGGGGCAACCGACCCATGCTTCTCTTACGCATCCGTGTTTCCCTCCCTCTCTTCCTCTCTCTCTAAAAATAAATAAATAAAATCTTAGGAACAAAGCAAAGGGTATGAGGGGCGCGGAAGGACTCGCCCCCTGTCTGGGTGTCTCGGGAAACCGTGCACAGCTGCTGGCACAGAGGCGGCCGGGGGGACAAGAGTCCGTTGGGTCCCCGGGGGTCCCCAGTCCCTTGGCCGTGGCCCGGAGGTAATGGGTGCCTTGTGTCCTTGTGCAGCCTGCAGGGCCCTGATGGACGAGGTGGAGCATGACGTCACCAAGGCTCGGCAGACGAAGACCAAGGTGGGCTCCTCCCAGACGCACCCCGACGGGACGCGGGAGAGGACAAAGGTAGCAGGCAGGAAATTCCGTGCCGGTCTAATTGCGGATATAGGCAATTACCAACCATCTATCCAAACAGCGGTTGGTCTTAATCTTCTAGCCTTCCCCTGTTCAGGGTGTCGGCTCTAAATTGCTTCGGGGCCCTGGGGGACTGAAAGTAATCTTTAAGCTTGAAATTGAAGTCTCTCTCCCAGCACCTAAATTTTGTGTCTCGTCAAGTCGCAAGACATTTGGGCACCGTTGCTCATCAGGATAAAAATAGCCCTTCCATGGCTGCTGGGCGAGGCCAGCAGGGTGCCCGCAGTGGCCGCAGGGGCTGCGTAGAGATGCTCCAAGGCTGGACTGCCCCCTCGGCCTCCTCCCAAGACCTGGAGAGATTCATCATGAGGTCAGGAGTGAAGATGCCCCTTCAGGACTGACTCGGGCACTGGTCCCAGGGGACAGGAGGATGCTCGTCCTCCATGGGGACAATTCAGAGAGAGCCCTCGTTCCCTGAGGCTTGGGGGAGGGGTCTGAGAAGTGAGGTGGGGCAGGACGGGGCCACCGTGAATTCCGGTTCCTGTCTCATCCCCCCCCCACGAAGCACTAGGGGGGTAAGTACTCAGAGCAGGTAAGCCAGCATCGACGTCATCTGAAGTGACACGTCATGGGGGAGGTGCCTCAAGGTGTCACCTGTCTCGCTTAGAGCAGAAATTGGCTTTGGATTTCTTGTTTCGTCCCAGCTGAGCCATCTACTTTCTCTCCTCTTTCTGGAATCACGTGCCCTGCGAAGGGGACAGGAGTGAGGCTTGGCCACCCCTTGCGAGAGGTGAAGCGTGATGTTTGAACTCATCTGCGTTGGGAGGACGTGAGGGATGGTCCTTTCCAGGTCAGACGAGGGTGGGGAACACAGGGGTCTCTCCTGAGCTCCCTGCCCCCTGAAGTTATACACAAGGACAGGCCTTTGAAATCGCTTTCACCAGCTCCATAGCAGACCTCATTTCCCACCTCCAGGGGTCCCTCGGTCTGTGTGGCCATGGCAACCAGCAGGAAGGAGCAGCCCTGGTCCCTGATGCAAGTCTAGGGGATCCCTAGGCCAGGCAGGGACAGGAGTGCATGGTAGAGAGGGGCCGGGGTGCGGATGGCAGGATGGGGCAGGGGCGGGACGAGGGTCCTCGAGGAAGGCCCGGAGTGGGGGGGTCCGGTGGTCCCTTCTTGAGGACCAGCTGTAGGACAGGGAGCCTTTAATGATCACCATGTCCTGGTGGCAAGAGGCCTAGTGAACTTGATGCCTGTTTTCAGATGAGAACGTGCAGAGCCGGTGAAGTGGGCGGCCACAAGGGGGTGGGGCGGCTGCAGGCCTGGGCCTCTGTCCTCCGTGTGGCTCTGGGGTCCAGCTGGAGCCCCCTTCTCCTGCCTCCGGCCAAGTCCCAGCAGAGCGACTCAATGGCTCCTGTTCTTCCCAGAACCCACGATCTTCCCCCAGGAAACTGCTGGAGCAGCTGGCTCTTGCCCACTCAGGACGCTCTCCCCTGCTCTCCCTCAGACCCCCCATGGCTCTGTGCTCTGGAGTGGGCAGGCTGCTCCGCAAACTCGGGACGCAGGGGGCTGGCCGTGTGAGTCAGGGCCGTCGTGCCGCCTTGGCTGCAGGCGCCGGGGCGCTGGCCCGTGGGGCTGATCTAGAGGCAGTTCTCTCCTGTTGCCTCACCCACCAGCTCTCGTGGGCTCCGCTCAGTGGTAGTCGGACAAAGAAACCCTGATCTGGGGGGCTGCCCGGCCGGCAGAGGCCTGCGTGCCAGGGACACTGCTGGCCGGAGGGGACAATGCACATGCCCCTGCCCATTTCTGCTGCTCCTTCCCCTTTTCCTCCCGTTCCCCCCGGGACGGAAGGAAGCCCTCCTCCACACACGTGTCCAGGCAAGCCTCTTCCTCCCTGTCTGTCTGGTGCAGGGGCAGGTCTGGGGGGGCAGGTGGACAGGAGGGACCTGTGGCCTGGCCTTGCTCGGTGAGGAGATCCGAGAGGGCTGCTGTCGTGTGTCTGTTCTGCCCCAGAGGACACGCGGGGAGGAAGTGGCTGCCGCCCCAGCTGGCGGTGTCTGGGTACACAGGCCTGTGAGGACACAGGTACAGTGGGGACAGACACCCGAGGGGCCCACGGGCCCTCCAACTGCTGCCCACCTCCTGCCCTTCCCCTCGCCTCTCTCTCCCTCTTGAACTCACTCTCCTCTGCACACCCCACCACCAGCCAGCAGCGCTGTGGCCCGTCGAGAAGTCACTGGCCCAGTCCCGTCCATGCCCTTCCTCATTCACCCGGGCAGGAAGCCCGGGGGGGCCCCGCTGGCACTCAGACACCCCTACTCCCCCAGGGCCAGCAGAGCAGCAAGCCCGGATGGCAGGACTGCTGAGTTCGTCTGCACCCGAGGCCGGAGTCCCACCCTTTCTCCTTGCCCAGCCAGACCCCACCCCAGCTAGAGGGGCCGACTCCCCGAGTCCCGGGACCTGCCCCAGGCTGTGTGTGGGGTCTGGGTCAGCGCCACTGGCCACCAGCCCAGGCTGCCACTGCCCCCTGTGGCCTCTTCCTCCTCTGCCTGGGAGGGCTCCAGAGAGGCCAAGGTGGAAATGCAGAGCTTGGGGACACGAGCAATCATGTGTGTGGTGTATGTGTGGGTGTGTGTGGGTGCGTGTGCTCACAACAGTCAGGGGACTGTCTGTGGCCCAGGGGAAAGGCGAGCTTCTCCTGCTGGCGGGCCTTGGGGTCCTCCGTCCGGAGGTAGCTGTGGGGTCCAGTGCTGTTCCTGGCAGGGCCAGCAGGGGGACCTGGTCCCCAGGGCTCCAGTCCTGGCCGCGCCTCTGCAAGGGTTTAAGCCCCCTCCCTGCCCCGCCCCAGACCACAGGAATTAAAAATTCGTGCTGTTCCCAGGGGACCTGGGGCAGAGGGATGAGTAAAATTAAAAGGGAAGGAGATGGTTTTTAATCCTCCTGGTGGGTGTTGGGGCCACGAAGGAAGGATGGGCAGCGCTGGGAAGTTTGTCCCTGGGACTGAGGCCTGAAGGACAGACAGCCCCCAGGAGCGGGGAATTCACACTGCTCAGGGGAAAGTGGGCAGACTCCGCAGTGATGGGCCCTGTGGCCAGAGGGGCTGGGGTTTTCCCAAGGAGGGACGAGGGACGCAGGGTGAGCCGTGGGTGCTGAGGACAGCAGCCAACGGGCCTGCCGGTCACCCCAGTCCCCAGGTGTGGGCCTGTCTCTGGCCATCTCTCAACTGGGGGGTCTGCAGCCGTGCCCACCCCCTCACCCACCTGGGAAATGCACTGAAAAAAGATGAACAAACTTCCGTTTTGCCTTAGGAGTCCTTTTGGAATCGGCACCAGCGGCTCCCCACTTTCTCTAAGGGGCGCATTCCAGGACTGACCAGAGAGCATCTCACTGGTTTGCCGCCTAAAAGAGAGGGGGGGGGGCGGGTGCGCAGGCAGGAGGCTGAGAGGCACAGGGCCCTCTGTCTGGAGTTCACTGGGTCGGGGTGACTGCCGTCAGACAAAGCTGGGAGACCCCATTTCTGCGGTTACTGTGCGTGGGCGTGCCGGTGGCCAGCTCACCGCACCCCTTATTCTGCGTGCTTTATTCTGAGTCCCTCTAACGGCAGTTCCAGGTCCCGAGAGGTGTCCTGCTGTCCTTTATCTGAAAGTACGCAAGCTGGCTCGGAGAGCCGCTGCAGAATTTCTCGTGGTTCTTCAGTGACACAGGGGACACAGAATTTGTTTTCTGACGGCAAACAAATTCATTTCCTCCCTCAGTCTGTTTTCAGACTGAGGGAGGAAATGAATTCCCGGTCTGATCTGAGAGATGAACTTAGTTCATTCACACTCTGAGTCACCTGCCTGTGGGGTCCATTATCCTGGCCGGCCGCCGGTTTCCATGCTACGGGGTCCGTTTGTAGAGATAGAAGCCCTTTTTTTTTCTTTAACACAAATTCCCTTCAGTTGGACTCAAGAAAAAATTCCCAGCGGCGTTTTTAGGAGGAGAAGGCAGAGGCCACACAATATTTTAAAGCAATATCACCCAGAGGTGTCCTGGTTCCGAAAGAGTGAAGAATTCCTACCTTGAAAGAACAATTTTAAAAAAACCCATCCAGTGGAAGAGGCAACCTTTGATCTCCAGTGAAGGGACCAGGCAGAAGCCTCTGTCCCCGCCGTCACCCAGAGCCCTGACGTCCTACCAGTCATGACATCTGAATGTCGTCCCACATTCAGATGTCACGACTGTCTACTTACCGCCTCGGTGAAGTTCACACAAATTTGAGGGGAAGAAAGTCTGTGAATTGAGCTTAGCAGGAAGCACCAATATGGACACCATTCCCCGAATTTCAACTTTGAAAAATAAACATTGGCACCAGCCAGGTATTTCATTGGGTTAGAGCATCGTCCCCATAAGGCCAAGGTTGCAGGTTCGATCCCCAGTCAGGACACACACAAGAATCAACCAACGGATGCGTCAATACGTGGAACAACAAACTGATGTTTCTCAATCTCTCTCTCCTTAACATCAATTAAAAAGTAATAAACGTTGAACATAGAAGAAGGCAGAGAAGATTAATAGTCAAGAACCTCAGCCCAACTTTTCTCTTTTTGGAAGAATCTCTCTATAATGCAAAGCCTATTCACAGACAGTGTGCGACCACCCGCATGTGGGCAGCCCCTGTGTGGTCAGCAGGGCCGTAGGCCCAGCGTGTACACCTGAGGGGCCGGCAGGTGGGCCTGCACGGGGCTTGTCAGCCGAGGATGCCAAGACCTGTGCACATGGCCTTCGACCTGGACGCAACTTCGTGGGAGACCAAGGCCGTGGGACGGTCCATCGAGTATCAGACAGTAGCGTCCACCAGACCCACTCACCAGGAACTTCCACTGTGGAACCAGGGACCGTGGTTACAGTTGTCCACTGGGGGGAGGGGTCGCTCCCTGGGGGACGTGGGACATAGTTTGCAGACCTTTTGGTCTTCACAGTTGGAGGGGACAGAGTGTTCCTGGCACATT